GACACAAAGATGGGTGGAGGGACAGATAGTGTTGAGGAAGCAGGAAGGCTGTAGAAGGACTGAGAACAGGGTAGGAGAGTGGGTAAAGCAGTGGCAGATGGAATACAATGTGGGAAAGTGTGCGGTTATACACTTTGGTAGGAAGAGTAGAGGCGCAGACACTTTTCTAAATGGGGCAAGGCTTCGGAAACCTGAAGCACAAAGGGACTTGGGATTTCCTAAGGCTAATGCGGAGGTTCACTTGGCAGGTAGGAAGATAAACACAATGTTAGCATTCGTTATGAGGTGTTTAGAATACAAGAGGAGACATGTTCTACTGAGGCTGTATAAGGCTCTGGTCAGACCGCATTTATGATATTGTGAGCAGTTTTGGGCCCTGTATCTAAGCAAGGATATGCTGACATTGGAGGGCGTCTAGATAAGGTTTATAAGAATAATCCCAGGGATGCAGGGCTTGTCATATGAGGAGTGGTTGAGGACTCTGGGTCTGTACTTGATGGAGTTTAGAGGGATGGGGGGTATTTCATTGAAATTTACAGAATACTAAAAGGCATGGATAGATTGGACGTGGAGAAGATGTTTTCATGAGTGGGAAAGACGAGGACCCGAGGACAGAGCTTCAGACTGAAGGGACGACCCTTTAAATCTGAGAGGAGGGAGACTTTCTTCAGCCAGAGGGTGATGAATCATAGAAGACTGTAGAGGTGAAGTCATTGAGTGTATTTAAGACAGAGTTGGAAAGGTTCTTGATTGGTAAGGGGATGAAGGGTTACAGGCAGAAGGCAGGAAAATGGGACTGAGATTCTCACAGGTACCTGGACTACACCCTCCTCTCAACCACCTTTCTGCAAGAATGTGATCCCCTGCTCCCAATTCCTCCGCCTCCACCATGACTGCTCCCAAGATGGGACGTTCCACTCCCAAACATCCCAGATGTCCTCCTATTTCAAGGACCGTAACGTCCCCCCTCTATTGATCAAAAATGCCCTCAACCGCATCTTTTGCATTTCCTGCACTTCTGCCCTCACATCCCCTCCCCCCAACAAAAAACAAAGACAGAATCCCCCTTGTCCTCACATTATCACCCCACTAACCTCTGTATCCAACATATCATTCTCCACCACTTCTGCCACCCACAATCTGACCCCACAACGAAAGATATATTTCTCTCCCCACCCCTATCTGTCTTTCATAGGGACCGTGCTGTCCGCGAATCCCTCGTCTGCTCCATACTCCCCACTAATTCCACCACCCCTAACACCTGTCCCTGCAAACGCAGGAAGTGCTACACCCGCCCCTACACCTCTCCCCTCACCTCCGTTCAAGGCACCAAACGAACCTTTCACATCAGACAGAGGTTCACCTGCACATCCGTCAATGTGGCCTATTGCGTCCGCTGCTCCCGATGTGGCCTCATTTACATCGGTGAGACCAAGTGGAGGCTTGGAGGCCGCTTTGTAGAGCACCTGCACTCTGTTTGCGACAAACAACAACACCTCCCATTCTTGAACCACTTCAGCTCCCCCTCCCACTCCCTGGGCGACATGTCCATCCTGGGCCTCCTCCAGTGCCGCAATGACGCCACACGGAAGATGGAGGAGCAGCACCTCATATTCCGCCTTGGGAGCCTACAGCCCAATGGCCTAAACATGGATTTCACCAGCTTTAAAATCTTCCCACCTCTGGCCTCATCCCATGCCCAACCCTCCCTCTCATCCCTGCCTCCTTGACCTGACACAACCTGTCCCGTCTTCTCTCCTAGCTATCTCCCTCTCATCCTCGTCTCCTTGACTTGTCCATCTTCTCTCCCACCTATCCGGTCCTCCCACCTCACTGACCAATCCCCACCACTCCCTACTTACACTCACCTATCACCATCCCACCTACCTTCCCCAGCCCCACCCCTCCTCTCTATTTAGTTCGGAGCTCCCTTACCCCTCCCCATTTCTGAAGAAGGGTCCCAACCCGAAACGTCAACTTTCCTGCTCCTCTAATGCTGCCTGACCTGCTGCGTTCCTCCAGCTCCACACTGTGTTTTCTCTGACTCCAGCATCGGCAGTTCTTGCTATCTTTGAGAAACATATCAGCCATGCTCAGATGGCATAGCAGATTTGATGGGCTGAATGGCCTAATTCTGCTCCTATATCTTAAATCTTATGGATATAGAAACACTGGAGAAGGTGCAGCAAAGTTTATAAGGGTGATGCCAGACTGAGAGGAAAGGTTGAATAGACTGAAACTCTTCTCTAAAAGAAGAAAAGGCTGAGGATGAAATAGAGAAGTCTTAAAATCATAAAGGAGTTTGATAGGGTAGATGTAGAGGAGATGTTCCACTGTGGGGAAATCCAAAAGTAGGGATCATAAATATAGGACAGTCATGAATAAATCCAATAAAAAGTTCAAGAGGAATATTTTTATCTCGAAAGCAGTGAGAATGTGCTCACACTCCTATGAGGAGTGGTTGAATAACATGGAGATTTTTTAAACGGAAGGCGGATTAACATAGCGGGAGAACGAAGGAGAAGGATAGGGTGAGGTGAGGAGGACTGAGAGAAGCTTGTGAGGACAATAAACAATGGCTGAACTGCCTCTGCTGTAAGTGTTATGCAGTATGGAATTTATGCAGATCAATCAAGCTTCAAGTGTTTAGATTGGCATGTTAACTAATGTCTTTCCCTAGGTAAGGGAGAGGGAAACAGGCAGTGCTCCTTCTCCTGATGACAGTTCAGGTAGTATTGCTGGATAGTGTGTGACTGGAGTCAGGGGTCTGTGTGGCTGTAACACCTTCTGTAGCAGCATCGTCAGTTAGCTTGCTCTGAAGTGAATAATAAAAACCTAGAATATAAATCTCATCATTGGTAATGGTGACTATGACACTATCATTGATTATTGTTAAACCCATCTGGTTTACTCAGGGATGGAAATCAACCATCCTTACCTGGTCTGGCCTACATGTGACTCCAGACCAACAGCAGTTTGACTGACTCTTAACTGCCCTCTGGGCAATTAGGAATGGGTAATAAATGCTGGCCCATGAATGAATAAAAATAAAAACAGTCAGGCGCATCAGCCAGATATTAAGAGGACTGACACTGTACTGTTCCAACACTTGACACAAGTGGCAGAGTGAAAGACACAGTCTGGGTTAAAGGTGCATATGGAAAACATTCTGAATTGCTGTGTGATGTGACATGCAACACCTGTTGCTATCAGCATGGAACTGGCTGTCTGCCTGATGATCAGTTACATTCTATTATTTCTGTTCTGTAACAGGCATCAGGAATAGCTCTGAGCTCATCCAGCCTCTTGTCCTCTCTACAGCTTCTCACTGTCTCTGATATTTTGAGTAACAGCCCCACTCCCTGCTATGGGTTCCACACTAGGGGGTTAATTGCATTGTGTGCTGTGACACTGAGGCACACAGTTCAGAAAATCCCTGGTTCAAAGTTGGTCCATACTGATTCCACCTGAACCTCTAGGAATACCATCACTGACCTGGATTAAGGAATTAAGAACACCTTATCCAGAGAATACGAAACACACTACCACAGGGAATGGCTGAGGTAATAAAATTGATGCATTTAAGGGGAAGCTGGATAAACACAAGGAGAAAGAAATAGGTGCACTTACAATTTGGGTGAGAAGAAAAGAAGGTGGCGAGAGGGACAAACAGTGTGATCACAGTCACACAGTGAGCAATGGATCTACTGGATTATAAATTTCATACAGGTGTTAGGACAATTCATGATCTCTGTTCTCGTGTTTTGGCTCAATTCACACTCCGTACTATCCCATGACAAATTAGCAAAAAATCAATAGTGGGGCAGGAGGCAGAATACTCTGGAAAAGACAGGAACTGGAACTACAGATATGCAGTAATTGCGCCCATAGCTCCAGTGCAAATTCAACAATGGGCTCTAATACTAAGTGTGTATAATTACAAGTTGGAACACTGTGCGGGAGGCCAAGTAGCGAATGTGGATGCATTGAGCCGCCTCCCACTGGCAGATACACCCCCGATGGTACTGCCCTCTGCATCAATAAGTTACCCCTCACGTCCTATTTGAATCTTTCCCCTCTCATTTTAAACTTATGCTTTCTAGTTTTGAGTCCTCCACTGTAGGAAAAAGACCTTGCCTATTCAAGTTTCTTGGTTTTCCTACCTTTTCATTCACACAGAAAGAATGAAGAGAGAGAGATGTTTTCTAATTGCTGGCCCTAAAGGTGTCGGGCTGCTCTGTATTGATAGAGCTGGGCCAATCTGAGGGCTGTCATCAGGCCATTTTCCCTGAACTCGAAAAGGGAGCCACTTTGACTCAATAATGTACTAATCTCTCTGCTCCAACAACATAGCCTTGTCCAATTAAAAATCTGCCATATGACCTTTTTCCAAGTTGCGAAACTCCTGGTGTTTCAGCTAAATAGCAGAATCTGACCTCTAGTCCAGTTTAGGATTCAAAAAAGGATTCTATGAGGTCCCTTACACTGAATGCAATTTCATGTGCTTCTCCATAACATGGTTTCTCTCTGATGTGTTCCCTAAACAGCTGAAAGAGCCATTGCAGCCAGAAAGCTCCCTCCCTGCACCCGCCCCGATAAGGATATGGGTCAGCTTCGAGTGGAGCTAGTTTACCAGGATGAAACGATGCAAACAGCACACGCTGGGTGGGGGAGAATCATGCTTCGTGATCCTATTGGCTGTTTATAATCTTTATTGAACTTTCAGTCCCTTTAGTTTTATACTTTAAACCCCTTGAAATAAAAGCTAGCGTACCATATTTCTTCCTAATTGCTTGCTGTTACCTTTCTGACATCCTGACACACACCGTCAGACAGACACACACCCACTCCTTGCTTTGTAGTGAGATGACTAACTTAAATTATAAAATGAAAGAACACAAATGAAAAGAAAGCTTTAAGCCTAAGTGATGTTTATGGTGTCATGGAATTACATGGACTCCTGTCACAGTGATTAATCTCTCTCTGTCTCCCTCGTCCAGCTGTGGTAGGAATGGGATTTGCTCAGGATCCTAACTTGGCCCATGGCTGTGCTCAAGGGAGCTGCTATCCTGCTACTGGGGACCTGCTGGTGGGTCGTCAGAACAAGCTAACAGCATCGTCCACTTGTGGCCTGAGGAGGCAGCAGCCGTACTGCATTGTGAGTCACCTGCAGGTATGTGCAACTAAACGGGAGGTGGGAATGGGTATCTACAGGCATCAGTACAATGCCAGCTCTGGTTTGTCATACACCTGCTGGTTTAAACATGTGGCATTTGATCACGTGACACCATTCCTGACACTGAATCAGATGACTTTTGATCACATGACACTTGTCTATTGTCTTTATATTTGTAAAGTGTCATAGTAATATCACTGATAAAATAATTATCGCATGTTTTCTAGTGAGATGAAGAACAATATTTTTGAATAAACAGAGGGAAAGAAGGAATAAAAGGTATAAGGCAGCATGTTTCAAACTGTGGATCCTGACCCCGGCTGGGATCACAGAGAGAGCAGCTGGGCCTGTGTGTCCTCCCTCCCAGGTTGGTGCCAGCTCTGCCCTTGTGCCTCTTGGCTCTCACTCTCAGCAGCTCCCTCTTCTTCTCCAAACCACTGAGCAGCTCGGCCTCCCCATTGGTACGCAGTGAGAGCGTGTGGGTGTGTGTCAGAGAGAATGGATTTGTGAGAGTGTGAGAGAGTGGGTGTGCGTGAGACTTCTGTGTGTATATGTGTGGGTGTGTACGTGTGTACGTGTGTGTCAGTGTGTATGAGAGTGTGTATGTGCGTGTGTGCGCACGTGGATGTGTGTGAGTGTAAGAGTGTGTGTGTCTGTAGTTATGTTTGTGTGTGTGTGGATATGTTTGAGTTTGTGTTGGGGGGGATTGTGTGGGTGTATCTGTGTGTGTGGATATGTTTGAGTTTGTGTGGGGAGGGAATGTGTGGGTGTATCTGTGTGTGTGGATATGTATGCGTTTGTGTGGGTGTATCTGTGTGTGTGGATATGTTTGTGTTTGTGTGGGGGGGGATTGTGTGGGTGTATCTGTGTGTGTGGATATGTTTGCATTTGTGTGGGTGTATCTGTGTGTGTGTATGTTTGAGTTTGTTTGGGGGGGATTGTGTGGGTGTATCTGTTTGTGTGGATATGTTTGAGTTTGTGTTGGGGGGGGATTGTGTGGGTGTATCTGTGTGTGTGGATATGTTTGAGTTTGTGTCGGGGGGGGAATGTGTGTGTGGGTTGAGGCAGTGATTGATTGATGTGGTGTTATTGATATGCGGGCTGTTACCAGTCCATTCATGTGCTATTTCAGATAGTGTTGGTGAAGTGGGTGATGAGGATACATTAAAGATAGATACAATGGAAAATGAGATAGAGAGTTTTTAATAGTCTCAGTTCACAGCTTAACTAAGCAGCTGCTGAGTGGAGTCAGAGGGATCCAAATTATTCTGAGCTTCAAATGGAGGTCATGATCTTTAGCTGGAGAGGTCAGAGTTCAATGGATGATGCCCAGCCAGGATTACTGAGTGGTGGTTATCTGCAGTGGGCATCTGTGCAGAGAGGTGTTGGTACGTCCCTGCAGAAACAACAGGACGAGACAGGGTGGGAGGGTGGAGAGGCGACACGAAGGACAGAGGGATGCCGTTCCCTGAGGGGCGAGCTTATTGAGTTCCCCGTCTGAGCTGCGGTGAAAAACCTACACAGGAGCCTAATCTCAAGCCTCCACTCAACTGGACCCTGGAGAATGAGTGGAGAATCAACCAGTGTTCCTGTTCTTCATCCCACCTCTGGCAGTCCCGCTGGGAATGCTAAACATGGGTATTGTGTAGACGGGGATTGAGCTCAGCAATGTGCATGGTTGAACAAACTGCAAATATTAACTGGCAATGCACATTAATAATGGTCGTATGATTACAGTGTCAGTCTGTACGTAGGACCCTGTACCCCAGTGAGAGTCAGTGTGTGTGTGGGACTGTACCCCAGTG